GGTATCAAACCCAGTACTCTCTTGAGAATTTCTTGTAAGGCTGGTCGTGTGGTAGTGAACTCCTGCAGTTTTTGTTTGTCTGAGAAATATGCTATTTGTCCTTCATTTCAGAAGGATGGCCTTGCTGGGTAATGTATTCTTGGCTGGCAATTTTTGTCCTTTAGTATTTTGAATATATCATCCCATTCTTTTCTGGCTTTTAGGGTTTCTGATGAAAAGTCTGATGTTAGTCTGATTGCGGCTCCCTTATAGGTGACTTGCTGCTTCTCTCTTGCATCTTTTAAGATTCTCTCTTTGTCTTTTGAGTTTTGACAGTTTGACTATGATGTGTCTTGGAGAAGATATTTTTGGGTTGAATATGTTTGGGGATCTTTGGGCCTCCTGAATCTGAAGATCTGTGACTTTGTAGCACTTTACCTGGGAAGTTTTCTGCTGTTATTTCGTTGAATATGTTTTCAATGCCATTTCCTTTTTCCTACCCTTCTGGATTTCACATGATTCAGATATTTGAGTGCTTAAGGTTGTCTCTTATCTCTCTTAGATTTTCTTCAATTTTTTGTATTCTTTTTTCTTTTATCCTGTCTGCCTGGATTGATTCAAACAGCCTGTCTTCAAGCTCAGAAATTCTCTCTTCTGCTTGTTCTAGACTGCTGGTTAGACTCTCTGTTGTGTTTTTATTTCATTGAATGAATCTCTCAGCTCCACAAACTCTGCTACATTCTTTTTCAGGCCATTTCTTCTTTCAGTTCCTGTATATTTTTTCTCATTTTATTGTGTTATGTAACTGGGTTTTCTTGTATCTCATTTAGATTCCTTAGAATTGTTGCTCAAAATTCCTCATCAGTCATTTCAATGACTTCTATAGGATCTAGAGCTTGACAGTTATTATTTTCCTTTGGTGGTCATGTACTTTCTTGATTTTTCATATTCCTGCTATCTTTCCTTTGGTGTTTAGTCATTGTGGCAGGGGGTATCATGGTCCATTTGTTCCACCCTTGTGTCTGGCCTGGATCCTGAAGGGACTGCCAATTCTGGGCATCGGGGAGTAGCCTAGACTGGGTGTCTTGTGGTGCCTGCCTGTTCTGGCATGACTGTCTCTGGGTGTGTGGGCCTGGCAGCTCTCGGTCCTCTCTGTGCGGTGGGTATTGGCCTGGGCTGGGGTCCCATGGTGCCTGCTTGTTCCAGCACGGCTGACTTGGGGCATGTGGGCCTGACGGTTCTTGGGCCTCTCTAAGCAGTGGGGACTGACCCGGGCTGGAGGTCCCGCAGCTCCTGCCTATTCCGGTGCGGCTGAGTTGGGGCGTATGGGCTTGGCAGCTCTCAGGCCTCTCTAGGCAGTGGAGACTGACCTGGGCTGGAGGTCTCTTGGCTCCTGCCTATTCTGGCGTGGCTGACTTGGGGTGTATGGGCCTGGCAGCTCTCAGGCCTCTCTAGGCAGTGGGGACTGATCTGGGCTGGAGGTCTCTCGGCTCCTGCCTATTCTGGCATGGCTGACTTGGAATGTGTGGGCTTGGTGGCTCTTGGGCCTCTCCTTGGCCTCATTTCTTAGCCTTCCACCTGGTGGGCTCTGGAATGTAAGATGAGCTGGTCCCCAACTCATGGCGTTGTGCAAGTATGGTCTCTACAGCCAGGCCTTCCTGTCGCTGCCTCCGTTCTTTACCCTCCAGGAGAGGTGACAGCAGAAGGAAACTACCTTATCTCTGTAAAAATTAATTACTTGAAATGGCCTTCATCATCCAGCCATGTGCTTAGCTTATACTTAAATTAATTTGTACACACCACTGTCCTAAGTTCCTTGTATAACCTTTCAGACCTATCCTTGCTAATCTTAAAATTTTAATTGTCTTTTCAGTCCTGGTCTTCTACAAATGGTTTGGACAATTTTAATTGCATTTTGGATTTTTCTGGTTTCTGCAAATTTCCTAATTCAGATTGAATGGGTAAATAAGTGAACATACTTTAGAAGATGCACAGTTAATGAAATGTTGTCCTCTTTCATTTTTAAGTCCCTGTATCACAACAGGAATTAATTGTATTTCTTTTGACTGTGGCCATGCTTACCAGGAAGTTCTAGAACCACCGTGTCCTGATGTTCTCCTCCGTCCTCTGTTTCTAGTGTGTCATCACATCCTGTTGTTTGTCCCTGGAAATGGTCTTCGTGCTCTCCCTCCTTCCTGTGCACATGGGTGACATGGGGACCAGGATGACGTAATGGCTCTGTTTCTAGTGTGTCATCACATCCTGTTGTTTGTCCCTGGAAATGGTCTTCGTGCTCTCCTTCCTTCCTGTGCACATGGGTGACATGGGGACCAGGATGACGTAATGGCCCCTTACCTAGTTTGCCTGACCTTATTCTTTCCCTCTGCCAGCATGTCCTGTGTACCTTGTGTGCCTAGAGAGGTGACTTGACTTGTCTGAGGCTTCACAGCTGTTAATGGCAAGCCAGGACTCGAGGGACTCCAGACTGCAGGAGACCCTTTTTACTGTCTTTAGGGGCACTGACAGATTGTGGGTTTTCTTCCATTTATTCAAGGCCTCCCATCTGTATATTTATAGCTGGTGGTAGGAAGTGGCATTTCTTGATAGATTGTGTAAGGTATTTTTGTGTTTAGTAAAAGACGTGGCTTCCTCTTGGTCCTCTGGTGTATAGTCTTCGAGAGAGCGGGTGTTTAACAAAGCCTTTTGTGGCTACGCGTGAGGGGCCATTCCTGCGCTTCTGTGGCTCTACACGCAGACGACCGGGGCTGTGGTACTCTGCAGGTGTTTCTGTGTGCTGACCATGCCCTTTGTCTGGGAGGGACTGGTAGACCTAACTCAGGGACTTTTTGTGAACCATGACCAGCCAGGGTTTGGCACCTGGGGAGCCACTTGGCAGCAACATAGGCTGTTAGCAGATGGCACCAAGTTTTAACCTTTGCAGAGATTTTGCAATTTGAAAACGATGGAAAATCATACAAAGGAAATGAGGTGATACAGACCCACATAATCACAGAATTGATTAAGCCCTTGCTGTCCAGACCAGAACGCTGCTTGATCAGGGTGGGTTTACTGTCCGCCGTTTGAACGTGGCATTTTCTGGTATCGATAGGTGGTAGTGGTACAGTGGCATGCAATAACTTTACGCCTCAGTGGGTCTCAGATCTCTTGCTAGGATTGGGAGATTTGTGAGGCTTTTGCAGCTGTTGCAGGGTTCTTCAGCACAGGCGGGAGCAGTGGGGCCAGCCCTGGTGTGGGAGCAAGTTTGGTTTTTTTGCTCTCAGGGCTGTGACAGTTTGAGATCCCCTGTGGTTTCTGGAAGGCCCTGCGAGTTGTGCATATGCTGAACAGTCCAGGAAAAATCTGGACCAAACGCCTGACTCATCCATCCATTGATGTCCTTGCTACGCCTCCACCTCACCTTTTCCTCTTTTGTTTTTGTTTTTAAATGACAATTTCCTTGAGATATAACTCACTCACATAGTGTAAAATTCCACCTTTTGCTCTGTACGGTTCAGTTTTTATTGTATTCACAGAGTTGGGCAACCATTACCACTGTCTATGTTCGGAACATTCTTATCACCCCAGAAAGACACCCTATACCTATTAGCAGTCACTCCCCACTGTCCCTGCCACCAGTCACCTGCATTCTGTCTCTGTGGATTTACCTTTTCTGGATATTTTACATAAATTGAATTGTACAATATTTGGTCTTTTGTGTCTGACTTCTTTCTCTTGTAGTGTTTTCAAGGCTCATCTGTGTTGTAGCACGTGTTAGTCCTTCGTTTCTATTTAATGGTGAATACTGTCCCGTTGTATGGATTTTCCACAGTTTATCCATTCGTCAGTTGATAGACATTTGTGTTTCTATTTTCTTGGCGATTATGAATAATTCTGCCATGAATATTTGTGTGCAAGATTTTCTGCATGCCTGTGTTTTCCTTTCTTTTGGACATATACCTAGGAGTGAAATCGTTGAGTCTGTGGCATATCTGTGCTTAACTTTTTAAGGAACTGTCAGACTGCTCCAGACCATTGCACCTTATTTTGCGTTTCCCACCAGCAATGTACCAGGGCTCTGCTTCCTCTGGATTTTTACCCACTCTTATTATTATTATTCATCTTTGTGATTATAGACATCGTAGTAGGAGTAAAGTGGTATCTCGTTATGGTTTCAATTTGTGTATCACTAATGAGTTATGATGCTGTATCAATGCTTCATCATTTCTATGGCCAATATTCCATTGTATGACAGTCTACTTTTGAACTCCTCCACTAACAGTGATCTCATTGCATCTGGTGTAGTCTTTTTCAGCCTGTCTTACATTTCCTTCGGGGAGGATGGGGGTGGGTTTTAAAGCCAGCCTCTAATGAGGCACACTTTTGAAGTCTCTTAAGTTTTTCTTTTCTTAATTAAGTTCATGATGCTTTGTCATTCTATGTGGTAACATTTGTTTGTCAATTTTAGTAGACTATGAAAGTAATTTGTAAATTACTGTTGAATAAAGTAAGTACTTTCTGCCACACTGCAGGGCACCCCGGATTCAGAGTCACAGTCCTCTCCCATCCTTGTGCATCTTGGTTGGTGAAGGTCCTTTATTTTCCTCAGTTGCACCTATCCCTGTGTGGTTTCTGCCTGCTCACTAGCTGATGTCTGTCACTTAGAGCACGTGGAATGAGTCAGATGCAGTCTTTCCAGGGTTGTTGTTCAGCCCTTTGTCACCAGCATCATGAAAACCAGGAATAGGATTGGGAAGGTCCTTGCGAGGAGGGGCAAGGGACAGTAGGACATCCCTCTTCTCTGATTCTTACCTGCTTGACTCAGGGCGACATTTCTTTGTTTGAAATACACTTCTCCAGAATTTTTGCCTCGTGCACCTAATACCTGAAAAAAACCCCAGGAGTTGATAGCTCTATAGGTAGTTGGAAAAAGGTGGGTATTCAGAATGTTGCCAGCGATGATAATTATTCGAGTTTTGGGGAAACTGGGTGAGTTTGTCAGCCAACCTGTCCTGTCTCTGCAGTTCCTCCAGGACACCTTGGATGCCCTCTTCAACATCATGATGGAGAACTCGGAGAGTGAGACTTTTGATACGTTAGTGTTCGATGCTCTGGTAAGAGGCCCTTACTCTTCATCTGCTCAGACATCAGGTGCTCATTTGTGCCGCAGCCTTTGAAACTGGGGGGGGACGATCCCTCACAGTGACCTTGAACGCCATTGCAGTTGTAAATCCAAGCCAAGGAGATGAATTGGAGAGGTAGAAAGTTTCCTTTAATGTTAAACTACACGTAAGCAAGTGTCATTTCTAGAGTAAGGAGAGGTAAACTGGTGAGCATCTTCTGTTTGAAAATGTTATCATTCATTTCCTGACACAGTGGTTCAGATGAAGATTTTAAAGTCCTTTACATTATGTTGCTAATGAAAATATTATTGATTAATTTGCCAGGTATTTATCATTGGACTAATTGCTGATCGAAAATTTCAGCATTTCAATCCTGTTTTGGAAACCTACATTAAGAAACACTTTAGTGCAACATTAGCCTACACGTAAGTTCTTTTGTGTTGTTTTAAAACCAATACTTGTTTATTTCTTTTCATGTTTGTTACTTACAGTCATTTTCATATCTATGACTGTACATTTTATCTATGTCTGTTCATTTCTCTATTTTTTATTATTGTTTCCCTCTTAACAGACCTAAGAATCTTGTTGAAAGAGATACGTGATAAATTATCATAACATTCTTTTCTCCTCCACACCTCCCCTTTATCTTTAACATTTTCAGTTTATGTTCGACGAAACTGATATATGAGTGCAGAGTGCCTACCCTGCTGCAGCAGCCCTGCAAGCCTGTGATGAATGAATAAATGCACGTGTTCTTGTTTTGAGGTTATTGGTGGTTTAGTGTTAATAAAATTCAGTTTTGTACTTTTCAAGATATCTCTTTGCTCTTTAAAGAACCTTCCCTTTTGTTCCACAAGCTTCAGTTCTAACTAACTTGGATTCTTATTGCCCACCCAGCTACTCTCTACCTGTCCGCACACCGCACCCCACCAATACGTACCCAGAGGTCTAGTGAAACATCAGTGGGAGCATAAGATGCTTAGGCCTTACAGACAGGTGGCTCATCTAATATTCAGGAGCACAGTCCTGGAGCCAGGCTCCCTGGGTTTAAATTATAGCTTTGTCCCTTACAAGCTCTGTCATCTTAGCCAAGTTGCTTAACCTCTCTGGGCTTCAGCCTTCTTGTGTTTAAAAAGTGCATGATTGTAGGTTTGTATGAGAATTTTAATGAGTTATTATATGTAGAGTGCTTGGAATAATCTCTGGCACGTAGAAAGTGCTAAGCAATTATTGAGTTTCATTATTATTAGATTTATTATGATGAATTACTTGCTCTCTCATGGGGTGCTTTACTGGCCTGCATTCAAACTTTTTATTGTGTTGTAGGGGAAAATAAAGATTTACATAATTTCTTTAAAAACATCCCACTTACAATTATTAGAAATGATTCTCTTTAGTGTCCATAAATTTAGTCATAGCTCCCATCTGTGCCTTGAACATGCATCAGTAAAAACCTGTTTTTCCTGCCTGTGTGCAGCCGTGAACTCAAGGTCAGAGGATTCTGGCTGCCTGAAGCCAGCTAGTAGTATAACCCAGTCCTGCTCCTGGGTCCTTCGTGTCTGCCTTGAGTGCATGTTGATTGCAAGGCGGTGGGTGAGGCCTCTCAGCGGGCAAGAGCTGCGAGGTCCTCAAGCGTCCAGAACCAGCTGTGAGGAGTCTTCTGTGCTTGCTTGCTGATCAATGTTTGTTGAAAACATTTTGTTCACTCAATGGAGATGCCCAGTTTGCCAGCATGTTGTATAATTCCCCACAGACCGTGGGGGGGGGGGGGGGGGGGGGGGG